AAAAATGTATATTGTTTTTCTATATAAAAAAAAAAAAAATAAATCTTACTTTATAAAAAAGAGACAAGAAAAATTATAACTTCGGCTGCACAGAAGCTATCTTACACTTCAGAACTGCAAATCTTATAGCATGAAAACTTACAAAAATATATTGGGTAGTCAAAAAGTCTTTTCGTATTTCTATCAAACTTCGAATTATATTTTTTATATTTATAATGAACTTCCACTTTTGGTCATTTTTCCGCTGGAGACATTATACTAGCAGTTTAAAACTTTTCTGATTTCTCGGCGAGCCCACTTTACTCCATTAAGGGAGTTCTTCATGGACCAAAACAAATAGTGGTGCGATGGTGCAAAGTCAGGGCTATATGATGGATATATCAAAACTTCCCAGCAAAGCTCTCGCAGTTTTTGCCGGTTTTGCAAAGATGTGTGTGTTCTAGCGTTGTCCTGATGAAAGACGAAGCCTTTTTTGGTGATCAGTTCTGACTGATTTTTTTCGATTGCTTGCTACAATCTCATCAGTTGTTGACAGTAACATGGAAAATTAATCGTTCGACCAGGCTGGAGCAGCTCATAGTCGCTGATTCCTTTCCAATCCCACCAAATACACAGCATAATCTTTCGAGGCGTCAATTTGCGACCATTTGAGCTTCACCTTCCGTCTCCTGTTACTATTCGCTTCATAAATGGTTCCATCTCATTTCGTTTCAGCAAAGAATTGCAGGTATTAATTCGGTCCATTAAATTTTTCACAGACAATTTCTGTGGTACCCAAGCAACGAGTTTCTTTTTTAGGCAGCCTTTTTTAAATGGCTCAAACCCATTTGATGATGAATGTTAAGTTCCGTAGCGATGTCATGACTGCATATGTGACAATCCTGGTCAATATTTTCCATAATTTGATCGACTTTTTCGAATATTTTGCTTAAATGAAGCTTAAAGTCTCACCTTTCCAACACTATGTGGTATGATAGAATATGATTGGTAGCACTGGAGATATACGACTGCAACAACTTCTATTGACAAAATACGAAAACACTTTTTCGACTACCCAATATTTATCTTGATATTGATCGGTCAGTTTGTATGTGAGCTACATGTTATAGTAATCCATTCTGAAGAATATATTCGGAAATTTCAGGGTTACCTTGGACAAAACTATATCTTCATAAAGATATCTAGCTCGTCAAATAAAAAAGGCTTCCATGCAAACACTTGATTCCGATGGTTCTAGGCTGTAATAATAATGTAGATGTAGTTGTCATCCTATAATTGGCCGATATTGCAGTTTGAACAAGTAAAAAGCTTTTTGAGGAAGAAAGAAGGTGGACGAAATTCAGATCGATCTCAAAAACTGATGTGTTAGGCGGCGTATACATATACCGACATGGCTAAACCGACTCAGCTCGTCGCATGGATTATTTTATACTACCTAGCGCGCAAAATAAATTTCAAAACTATTTATTGATGGCAAAAAATGTATTAACTTGTTGTGCATTTATTACAATTTTTAGCAAAACTGTGATCTTCCATAACGCACTCACTGCTCGCGATCTCTAAATGTTACGACTGGTTGTAAGTAGCGCTTGAAACAATGTCATGCGCGAGCTGTTATCACTGCATATTATCGCTATATATGTGAACTTTTGTCCATTCATTATTGAAGTAAATCTGTAAACATGTAGTCTGTGGTCCACATCAAATATGTGAGTCAAGTTTCGTTGGCTTCAGAAAATATGTATACTCACTGTATACCCTTAAATGACAGCTGATAAGAGGAGCTGTCAGTCAGGCAAAGTAAATAAGTACACAATTTATATACGTACCTTGTAAACTTATTTTTAGGTGGAATAAACTTTTCTATTATAGTATCAAATATTTATCAAATGAAGATGACGAAACAGTTCCATAAAATTCGATATATGTATTTATAGTATGTTCAAAAAGTGTTCACGTATGGTAAAAAATAGTGCATTGCAGCTGCTCTTAAGAAAAATAAACATTAGAATGATTTTTTTTTTACAAAAAGGAAAGTATGTTTATTTAAAAACCTTATACCTACACAAACACTGCATTCCATAATCTCTGGTGGCTTTAGTACATATAAAGTAATACAATTCATGTGTACAAAATTTGAACTTAGAGGTAAAGAGACGATTGAAGTTTAATAACTAATAAAGACGGAAGCTTTAATGACCGCTTTAATACGGTCAGACATAGAGTTAATTAGATTATCAAAAATTTCCAGAGAAAAGCTGTTCCAAACTCATTCAACTTCAGTACAGAGTTCATCTGTGATTTTTGGTATTACTCTTTGAGCAAGGGACAATTTTTAAAAAAACTTCTAAAAATTTTCAATATGATTCATATCCTGTGAATGAGCTGTGGCCGCTCGACATATTCCGTTATTTTCCAAAAATATTTGTTAATGCTTAGGGTCATTGTCTTGCAAGTATAACAAATCACCGGGTTCACATCCAAAACTCTGGAAGCTAGTGATAAGTAAATCCTCTAGATTGCTAATATAGTCCGTAGCTCTCATTATTCAGTTATTTTGATGCAGTTTTCGCACATTTTCGCCACAGTAACAACCCCACACCATAAGTGAACTACATATGTCCGAATTTAATCGCAACATTAAAGGACTTGAACTGAACCTTTAGATTAGTTGTGATGTGGTGTGGTTATGCTGAAATTTCATGAAGAAACGAATACTTTCCAGAGCTTTCGTCAACAAGTCGGCACATAAATTACACACTTGAACATATCACATATCTATATATAGTATGTTTGTGTATGTGTAAGCATACTTTTTAAACATTGGTTTCTAGTAGATATTATGCACTGTCGTGCATAGTAATTATATTTACAAGCATGATATTAAGCGTCACACAAGAAATAAGTAACCACTAACCTGCATATTACGCAATGGTAAAATAATTTGCGACGCAAGAAAGTGCAAAAAGTAGCAATTATCCGAAGAAATAGTTTTACGTATGTGCGAATTTCCTCATATGAAGCCGACTTTTCTGTGCCCTGTAGAGAAAATTTGGAAATTCTTACTTTTGCGGGAAATTTTCGGTTTCTTATTTCTCAGGTCCGCTGACGCAAGAGCATAGGTTTCTTTCTTTGAACGACTTTTTTGGAGAAATGTTCATAAAACATAATCTTAATAACTTCCCAGCTTCGAGCTTGACGTTTTCTATAAATTAATACCTATAATTTATTTCAAGTTTTAAGTTACGAAAACAGTAATATTAAGAAAAAACGTTAACTTCGGTTATAATAACCGTCGTATCATATACAAAATATTCTATATAATAACTAGATTGAAATCGGTAGTTATCACATATGAACACTTTCTTTAAGAGAAGAGAACGTGAGCGAAATTTCAAATCGATATCTCAAAAACTGAGTGACTAGTTCGTGCATATACAAACAGACAGACCGACATGGCTATGTTTGGTTTTTTATGGGGTCTCCGACTCTTCCTTCTGGGTGTTAAAAACCCCTGTTCAGAGTATAAGAAATATTGAGAAATTCTCAAAGGAAAAACTGACCAAAAATGTGTAAAGATACAATAGAATTAAAAATAGCAGTTTTAACAATTTAGCGAGTTGTTGTTGCTTTTTCATATAAGTTTTTCACAAGAGCGCAGCGCGAGAGCAAATAGAGCAGTGAGCAAGTCCAACGTAAGTTGTGTTTTATGCCTCGGTATTTGGCAACCCTTGTGTTGCAATCTGGAAACTCACAACGTTATCGAAAACACGCTAGGACGTTTTGACATACGAGCGTCATTTATGTTCTTTACAATGACTTAAACTATTCAT